GATAGATGCTGTCCAGAATTTTCATCATTTCCTCAGATGCAAAAGAGACCAGAGGAAAATGATTGAAACAGCAAGCATTTTCCTACTCATATACGCTTAGGATATTTTTTCCAGATTTTTGGTAAATTAATCAAAATATCCCTATTACTTTTAATGAAACACTCAATATTCGAAGAAGTTGAGCATTTTCCTTTATACTAAGAAGTTTTCTTAAGGACAGACTAAAGGTACATGACAAAGGATATCTGATCAGGTAAACTTGATCTTAGATGCAAAGTGTACTTGAGAGATGATTAGAGAGCAATTAAACTATAGCTTAATTATTATCACTTCAAAAAGCAGCAGTACTTTTATTTTATTTTTTAAAAAAAAGCTGTTTCAAGACTACCAAATAATACATAGATAAGCATGCAATTTAACACTGAAATTAAGCTTTAAATTCTTAAAATTAAATTAAGAAAAAATGAAAATTGTTTTCTGTGAGATAAGACTTTACTCTCTTTTTCTCTCCTTGCAATCTCCACCTTTAAAAAAAAATCTATGTTGGTTATCTGAAATATTTTCTGGAACAGATGTGAATGGAGGTAACAGGGAAACAAAAGACAAGGAGAACAGATGGTGTGTGGGGTTCACCCTACGTTTCTATCCACTGTCCAGTCTTCACTGACCAATCTCAAAAAGCCACCACATTTACTGAAGGTGAGACATACATTGGGATTCTATTTCAGTTTTAGTAGTGTACATTTAGATGAAAGGAATATTCTTTCTTCAAAGAAAAATGTGATAATAGAACAATCTTCCAACAGAAAATGTGAAATCATTCTTCTAGAACAGTGTTTCTCATCCTTGGCAATTTTAAGATGTGTGGACTACAACTCCCAGAATTCCCCAGTCAGCCATGAGAATTCTGGGAGTTAAAATCCAGAGTTGCCAAGGTTGAGAAACACTGTTCTAGAGAGTTTCACAAAATTGTTCATACTGACTAATTTTAGGGATATTTTAGGTATATGTCACGTTTACACACTGTCTATTAAAACTGTGTCATATTTGCTTTCTAATTTGCATTTCATTGTTTTGATCATTCAGCTCCTGTTGTTTTCACCAAAACTTGAATAGTAATGCATCTTTCAGTTGTCATGAAAAATAAATCTTCAGAAATAGTTTGCAAGGTTAATAACATTTAAAATTACAGAAAATATAAACAGGAAGAATGAAGGCTTTGAAATTCCTTACACAAAGACAAACCCTGGACAGCTCATTAACTAGGCAGTCACTATAGTGGGATATAATTTTTTAAAAATGTAGTTTTTAATATTGTACTTGCACTTAACAACAATAATGTATTTTTTGTCTTGTGTATGTGTGTGCATTTGGGGGGGATATATAACTGATTAGCCAGAACTGTAATTTGATAGATACTACTAAACTGCTGTTCCACATTCATCAATTTGTGAAATAAAGAACATATTCTAACTGCATTTCTCTCATAGTTCTTAAGAAACAGAATACAGATAGAAAAAATTGTATCAGAACTGTTTCACGAAATCAAATATGCAGTGGCATGTGATATAAACACAATACAAATGTATTTACATCTCCTTCCGGTGTAATGATCTCTAAAAACAGAGCCTTGTCAGTCCATAAAATGGAATGTTGAAGAATGCATAGTGATTATTCTCAAAATCACCAGGGAAATTTCTTCAAGTTGTGAACAAACATTTGATAAAATACATTTGACAGATTAATTAATCTGTTATCTGTGGAATAATTAGAATGAATTGTAACTATAACTGTATTGGCAACCAAGTCCTCTAAATGTCATTGATTTTAAAATAATTTAAGTAAATGTCTAACTATGCCACTGAAGTCAACATGACTTCAAAGTGCTTAGATCAGTCTCAGTGCTGGTCATTAAAATTAGCAAGAGACCATAAAAATAATTATAAAATTACCATGTGCAGACAGGAGGAAGATAGATATCCAAGTCATATGCTGAACATAAGGCAGACATAAAAACACTCACACAGAGACAGACACACAAAGGCATATAATTTGGCCAGGAGTAATCCCCACTTAGATTCCAGTGATTTTACCTAATTTTATGCTATTAAGTAACGTGATTTTAAAAATGAGGGCTTTAAAGACATATTAAAACCAATTTCCAGTTCAACTGTTGGTACCTGAATGTTGTACGAAACTAAACAAGGGCATCATGTTTTATTGCCTTTTAACAGATTTAGTGAAAATAAATGTTAGAGGTAGGGCATAGTATCATGGAACTAGATAGCCCTATTTGACTGCACTGCAAAAAATGTTGTATTTCATGCAATGTTACACAATTTGGCAAAGCTCCAGCAATTAACTAGTATACCTGGAATATACTTTTAATGCTGTCCAAATGATTGCAGAAAACAGATGTCTAACTTTTTGACAAGTAGAATTCATGCATAGTTGTTAGCCATGCCCAAACCATCTTTTTGTATTACAAACAGTGGTATCATAACACTGATGCAAAGCAGAATAATCCTAACTTGTTTTGTCTCAAGTACTTTAACTTAATTTATTTAAATAGATTTATAAATTAATAAACAGAAGCCATTTACTGATAAACAGTGAAAATGGTTCTCTTTTAGAAGGAATTTCTCTTGATTATTTAAACAGTATTTTTGAGTGAACTGGGTAAATTTAAATTAAATGGCTTCATTTTCATTTATAGGAAAAAGGAGATAGTTGTAATAAAAAGCAGATTATATGTAGAAAAGAAACTTTTCAGATATAAGTTCCACTTTTTGTGCAATTTGAATCATGGGACACATGGAACCAACAACAAAGCAATTTAGAAGTGAAGAAATAATATAGATGTTATCTGTCCTTAAACAATAATAAATGCATCACTCATACATCCGCAACCATAAGCAGCCACAGAGACTTCATATTTCTGTAATATTGATAGACTAATATAAATTCACTGCTGAATTTCATTTCAAACAAACCGAATTCAAGAATAACACTGTCATTAAGACATGGACCATTATTTTATGAATTGCAGGTTTCTATGAAATATAAAACTTTAGCTTTTATGCATGTGAAGAGTGTCTTCCATTTTTAATAACAATGTCACAGTTACCAATTATAAGTATTAGTTTTATTTTCATTATAGGGAAAACAAGCTGAGCTGCTAGAGAGATTTCACATGAAGGCAGGATAAATTTTCTTGCTAATGCAAACCACCTTTCATCAGTGGTTTTGAGAAGACTCTAATTTCCAGGTTCCCTGAATTTGTTCATGAAATAACTGGAGGAAAGTTGGATTCCTAACTGAGGTCCAAGGAACCTCTACTTCAGTATTTATAACTGAAAATAAGAAATACATGTACATAGACAAAGCAATCAGACTATTAACTTTTGCTGGTAAACAACATCACGTAAAACAGAGAAAAGGAATACAAAAAGGTAGGTCAAATAAATTAAAGCATGAGGTTGAAAAAAGAAAAATATATAGCTAAATTTGATTTATATTAATATTGTTCACTATACCTCTCTGTCCTTGCAAACCATGCTTGTTTCTACCTCCTCTGTACAATACTCAATATATTGCTTTTTGTTTGACTCACTTTATTCTTTTTGAGAATGCCATTAATTCAATCTAACCATCAGTGTTCTGACTTCCCCTTCTTCTTGACCTATTCATTCTTCCCTTACATAGTGTTTGTGCAATTTGCTCCCCAGTCATTCTTTGTAATATGACCAAACCCCCTTTTGTTCTTGCATTGATAGCTTCTGTCCCTAGGAATTGTTCTCAGACTCTGCAAGCTACTATTTCTGCATTGCCAACGCTTCTGAAAGCCAAAGTCAGATTATTACAGTTTTCAGAGATAACTTTCTTAAACGGCCTTTCCTACTGGTGCCCTCCAGATATGGCATTTGGCCATTTTGGCTAGCAATAGACAAAGATTGATATCCAATATATCTGGAGGGGATCAGATTGGAGAAGATCAACCAAGAACTTTCGTATCACTTGGAAAATGAGCAATTAATAGATTAATTTAACACCCGACTTTTTCCATCGTTCTAAATCCTTTCTTATTGCCTCTGTTACTTATGCTGTATCATAGACTTCAATTAGATTGCAGCACTTCTTGTATACTGAGTCAGCTGTTATTGAAGCTAGGCCTTAAGTCAGTGATTTTTAAAAGATTTTATCTTTGGCAGAAACAATTCAGTGGACTAAAATGGCAAATGCCAAAAGAATAAAACATTTTTTACAAAATTTATTTGATATCACATTAATTGTTAATGTGTGATTAAACTTTATTATTTCAGAAATTAAAGGATATTTGATATAAATCATTGACTTTGGTACTAGAAATCTGTTTGTTTTTTTTATACATGCCATGAAGCTAACCTAGAAAAAACAACTCTTGTCATTGGTATCTTTTTTTTAATATGGAATAGTAAAGAAATATAATATTATAAATGCTACAATTATTTATTTACATCCATTTCAGGCTAAAGAGCATGGTACTAATTCAGCAAGAAGACATGCATTTACAATAGTGACTGTTGTATAATATTTCTATGGACATCACAGGTTGTGATTTGATTCCTATCCCCACCCCAATTCTAAAAATAGTTTTCCTTGTAGATTTCCAAGGACACTTTCCATGTAGCTCAAAGAATAGTTTTCCTTATAGAAAATTAATGGAACTTCCATTCTTGAATTGCAAAGTCAGCTGTCAAACAAAGCCATTTTTGTGAGAAGACAACACAGTAAAACAACTCAAGATTTTGCACAATATACACCTCCTAGAGGAAGTGCAATAAAACTTTTAATAACAGTTTATAGATTAATGACTATTTATTTATTTATTTATTTATTTATTTATTTATTTATTTATTTATTTATTTTTATACAGTTGTCCACCTCCCCAGTGTGATTCTGGGCAGCTAAAAGGAATTAAACTACATTCATATTAAATTATAGTAAGAAAGGAGTCTTACTTTAGCTTCTGAGGTTGGTTCCAAAAAGCAGAGGCGATTTCCAAGCCCCTCAGCAGCCAGGCAGAACTTGCGCTGTTCTTTATGAATGTTGGCTACACACTGAAGTACCACTTCATCATCCTGTCATGGGATATGAGAAGCAAGATTTAGATCAGTGATGAATTGGTTCATTTTGACAAATCTCCAAACAAACAAAAAACATTTGTTTAAGACTGGCAATGTATTATATATACATTTTTGACATAAAACTATATGAAATTTCAGTTACATAGTCCTGTCATCACATTGATATGAGAAAAGTTGTATTAGTCTATGTCTTCAAAAAAAAAATCAGGCATTCCCTTCTTTTTCCCAACCTCACCCCAATTTAAATCTGAATTCAGTCTACACCGTGCACTGAAGTTCCCTATTTCATCACTTCATGCCTTCTCTAACAACAAAAAAATAGTTTGAATATAATTCTAATTCTTTGCATCTGAGCAGAAGTAATTCCTATCGAATCAGACAATAATTGTTGGTGAAACCAAACAGCCAGTGGATTGAGTGAATAAAATAACTCTCCCTTCCCCAAATGATCTCAGGATATTTCTCAGATTCAGTAAAACTGGAGGCAGAATAAAAGGGAGCTGATGGTTGCTTGACAATTCTTGAATTTCTTTCTATATCTACTTCTGTGGCTAACTTAAAGGCAAAAAAAAAATAAAAATGGGTAAGGCATGCCAGATGAGTGAGCAATTCAAAATGATGGATATTAAAGATGTCATAGGCAGAATGCTTATGCCCTAATACAGCCCAAGGACAATTAATTTCTTTTGCTCAGGCCTCAAAAAACCTTATGTTTCTAAGCCTTATGTCTCTTATACTGCTATATTAAGAAATAACAACAGACCTGGTTTTCCTATTTGACTTGGTTAATCTTACCATATTTTTATTTGCTATTAACATTTTTATGGGGAAGATAAAAACATTATTACCATCACTTACAATCCATTTTTTCCTGTGTTTCAAATGCTAAAATTCATTCTACTGCATCTGTTATTCGAGTGTTATTTTTATATAAGTCACACAAATAGATTTTACAGCTATAAAATATTGCTTGCAGGCTTGACAATAACCTCAGTGGATATCAGGACTAAAAACTCCTTAAGAATCTTTTCCAAATAATACAGTTATGCCATTCTCTAGGTTGTGCAATGCATCTTTGTTCAGAGCATACAGTACTTACAAATGCAAGTACTGCATGATAGGAAGACAGATAGCATATCTGATGTTTTCTTTGACATGGTTAATAGTCTTACACTTTCTGAAATGTTACACTCCTTGAAAACCATGCAGTAACATAAGTATATGTGCTTGATTGATGATGGAAAGTATAAATGAATAAAAGAACTGAATATATTAGAAATAATATTACATTTTTCAGAATTCCTCTTCTTTCCCAGAAAATAAAATTTTAGCTACTTTAAAATATGACCTGTAAATTATATAACATCTTTAGAAATTCAACATTTGATATCTGGAAGCCAGTTGATATTCATTTATTATGCAGGTATATATGTATTTAATCTGATAAACATACTTTATTGGATTTGTTATTTTATATTGGAATGATAAGGCACATACTGTGCTATTTATGTGATTAAAACTGCTGATATTATATTCCTGTCATGGACGACTAAGAAAAGTTAAGTTGCCTACAGTAAACTTTGTAATAATCAAGATCATGCTGCCTTCACTAATCATTTTGTTTGTTCACAATTTAAGCAGACTTTATGAATGAGGTCTACACAAGCAAGCTTTCTCCTCCTATTGATGAAAAAGACAGAAGCCCTAATATATGGTTGAATTCTTTGTGCACATTGTGGTTTCTTTTCTGGAAGGGGTTCCTTAATTGTATTAAGCTTACAAAACTGTATATAGAGAGCTCTTTAGGAAGAATGCTTGACACAGGGTGGAATTTTCCTTATATTAGCAGAATTGGAAATGTGATTTGAATTTATGATCCATATTAGTTCCTTATCAATTTATTTATAAGTATATTGTTAATCCACATTAAACTGCATTAAAAGACTCCCCATAAAAATTTGCAATTAAATATTAAATTTAATTAAATGCTTGTTTGGTGAAATAATATTATTTAAAGTTATTTTCTTTCAAAATAAGCAAATCTAAATGCATTTGATACTAAAACAGATTTTTTTTACATGTAGATTTATACGCACTTTGTGTATCCTGTGATGGTTATAATATCAGATATTTACTAAATGTGACTAGAAGGAAATATAGCAGAAATAGAATAAATTATTTATTTTTAGTGTATTATAAATTTCTGCATATGCCTGATAAAAATGTGATATGATCAATTATGAAGATGACTACAGATTCATGTAGATAGACTGAATAGCTTTAGATAAATTAGGATAGATAAGATTACGTATCAATTTCATTTCTATACTAAAAATCAAAAACAATATAATAAGTATTGTGATAATACCTCTTTTGGGTTCCTTAAAATCACAAAATGAATAATTTTACTACTATTTTTGGATTGTTCAATCCCTACAAGTATTTCTAACCCTGAGTATCGAGGAATATTTTCAAGAGTCAAGAAATCAAATGCATTTTTTATTAAAACCTGTTCTAATTACTTTTAGAGCTATCCTTTTATGTCACAAGAACAGTAGCTTTATAGCCACTGTTTATTTTGTTATAACATTTCTTGATTTAAAATTATCTGGGAAAATAACTAACTTTTTCTACAGGGCATATCTCCCCCCTCCATCAAATCAAATTTGACTCCTTATAGACTAAGCAATTTCTTGGCAACATTGTGAATATAGTTTTCGTTTATTTTCTTCTAAAATGTTCTGCAACTTCTTGAGCACAGATTGAGAGACAGTGGTTCAAAGTTATTGTCTTCTATGCCTAAAGGAGAACTAGAATTTGGGTCTTCCAGCTCCTAGATCATTACCTTAAGCAATAGATCACAGTGGCTGTCTATCCTTTACCATATATGTAGTAATCTTATTTCAATTTCTGAATGATATATGAGATTAATAAAGTGACCATATGAATATTTTTCCTTTAAAAATATTTCCCATCTTCAAATATTACTGAGCTCAAAAATTAAACAACAGATGTTTTCTATAAAGAGAATAATGTTGATTGAGAAAGTCCCATTTTCTTCTGCAGGTGTAACTTATTTCAACCTATTCAATAAAGGAGAAATAATGTTGTAATCTAACAATATCAAAAGACAACTATCGAGACAAAAATCAAAACACATAGCCTTAACAAAGATACCTGAAAAGTCTTTTGTTTCATATACTTTTACACCAACATTAATTAATAAAAGGATGCCATGTTTGTAGCATTCCCTCAGAAGATATACAGTGTTAAATTTCATTGTCAAAATGTGAATTAAATATTACAAGTGAAGAGTTACTATTTAGAATCTGGCTAATGTTTGTAAATAGTTAAGAAAGATGTACACATAGTGGAGTCTTTGGTGCTGTCTGAGTTTGGTTGTTTCCTTTCAAGCATTTCATTACCCAACTATGTAACATCATCTTGATAATGTGGACTTGGTTTGTAAATACCTTGGTATGTGTTCATACATGCCTTAGTAAGTGTGTACAGATTTATAGATAAGTTGTCTCTCACTTCTCATTTAATTAGACAGTTTCTGTGGGTCAATTTAAAAAATTATTGGGAAACATAAGAATTAATGAAAATATAAGCATGATGCCATTTCATTGGGTTACAAATAAACTAGCTCATCCACACTGGAAGTAAAATCATTCATCTTTATACAACTAACACTCCACTGCAGTAACTGAAATAATCAGTTGATGAAAAATGGTGATTGTCATTATAAGTCATCAGTGCACTTATATATTAACAGTCACATGAATAATGTAAAAAACAAACAACCACCAGAAGTGATATATTGTAGCAAACTTTTTAAAATTGGTGCCCTCCACTAATTTTGACAAATGTTGACTAAAATTCCTCTAACTTCCAATTATGGTCTTTTAAATATACTCTGTCCATTTTTTGTGTCTAATCATCCAAATGTTAGAAAGAGGGAGAGAGAGTTACTTTAAGGCACAACTTTGGGGGGAAGCAATCTGAACCCTATTAAATAATAAAACATGGAGGATAAACATACAAAGAATCGAATATGTCTAGTTTAATGAGAAGAAGTTTAATACGTCTAGTTTAATGAGATGATAGCAGTATTCCAATATCTAAGGGGCTGCCAAAAGAGGGGGTCAACCTACTGTATTTTCCAAAGCAGCTGAAGGCAGGACAAGAAGCAATGGATGGAAACTAATCAAGGAGAGAACCAACCTATAACTAAGGAAAAATTTCTTGACAGTGAGAACAACTAATCAGTGGAACAACTGGCTTCCAGAAGTTCTGGATGCTCCAATACTGGAAGTTTTTAAAGAAGAGATTGGACAACCATTTGTTTGAAATGTTATAGGGCTTCCTGCTTGTGCAGGGGGTTGGAATAGAAGTCCTCCAAGGTACCTTTCAACACTGTTATTTATTCTGTTAACAATGTTAACTCTCTAACCTAACTTTCCCATACTTGCATCTCCCAGATAACTCAGCAACTCCTTGCAAGCATAGAAGCTAGAGGTAATGCTGGCAAGGGTATGCCATGTGGTAAAAATAGTTTACCCAGAAAATTCAGTTAATTCTACCCCCAGAAATGTAATGACAAAAACTCCCTATTCTTTAGTAATAACAGTCCCAACATATCAAGATGGAGGGAAAATACTGTAATCTTTCCTGTCTGCTCTCTTATGTGTAGTTTTCTCATCTAACTAGAATGAACAGAAGTAGCATGTTATTTTATTAAAAACAGTAATAACAGAACTGTGATATATAATTCTCCTCTTGGATATGCACAATGGAGGTTTGTGCAAGTTTCATCAGTCGCAGTAGGTGTTTTTATCAGCTTTGGTGTGTTTGTCAATTTCAACGCTACCTACACAGGTCTTTTCTCAATATCATGCACAATATGATTCTTATAATGCACTGTTTGTGGGGCTGCCCTTCAGATGCTTCAATTGTTGTTTCATAAGCGAGGGGGAATGTTAATTAATAAA